ACTTGACGAGGATATATCGTATCCAACGCTCATCACAACTGATTTTCCCCAGAAATCATAGCATCGAAATTGCGGTGTTTGAAAAGGAACTCATCTCCAGGGGTAGATAATATCTATCCATAAACCTGGCGAGTAACTTAGCTCAACCTCTAAACGAACTATTCCAGCAAATGTTCAACAAAACTGTGCTCCCACAAACATGGAAACAAGGGATAATTTCTCCGATACTAACCTACTTGTGGCCCAAGAAGAGTGAACAAAAGCAGCAGATCACTGTGATGCAATGGACGTCGTGTACCTCGATTTCTCCAAAGCATTCGATCGAGTGGATCACAAAATACTACTGAGGAAACTACACAACAACGGAATTCGGGGACTTGTACTGGGTTGGATAAAATAATTNAATAATTTCTTCGACAAAGCATCATGGAATTTCGGTTTTCTGGGTCACTTTCTGATCCCATCAACATAGCACAAGGAGTACCACAGGGATCTGTGCTGGGCCCTCAACTTTTCCTTGTTTTTATCAACTACCTAACGGACATTCTGGGGCCAAAAACATTAATGTTTGCAGACGATGCAAAAATATGGAAAACGGGGACAAAACCAGTGGACTCGCTAGAACTTCAAAGAACACTAAATGCTGCCTATCAATGGTCGATCGAAAATGACATGGAATTTGATGCATGAAAATGTAAGATCGTATCCCTTCAACACGAACCTCGGTTTCCGTATTTCCTAGGAGATCAAAAACTTCCGTACGTCTCGAATGAGAAGGATCTCGGCGTCATTGTTCACGACGACCCAAGCTGTTCTTTAAACTGCTCCCGGGCGTCGTCTACCGCTGTAAGACATGGTTTGCTAAAACGTATTTTGCAAATTTGAACCTACGCTGTTCCCACGATTGTTATCAGCCTACATTCGACCCCACATAAAGTACGCCATTCAAGCATGGAATCCGTGGCTGCAACGCGATCAAAAGATTCTGGAACGTCCACAAAGAATGACTGCCAAAGTGGTCAAAGAGTTATACGGGAAGACTGGAAGCACTGCAACTGTACTCCACACAGTATCGCTGCATTTGAGGAGACTTGATCTTGGTATACCAAATAATGCAGAACCCAGAACCACCCATGTCGTCCAACACTCACCTAAGGGGGCCCTCAGAGTGTGCACTACTTGGAATTCTCTACCACCACACGTTGTTTCTGCGCCCGCAATTAACTCATTCACAAACTGGATGAAGTTCGGAAAAGTCTTAAATTTCCACATCCGTAGAAGTGCACGAAGCAACGACAAATTGTGACCTTCATCTACTTTGTATGAACTGTCAATCGATTCATCTATGCTAAACCCTATGGGACTAGAAAAGCAACCGCTTGTATTTCCCATAATAAAACTTTGACTTTGACTTTAACATCAATGTTTCCCAGATTCCCCATCTCGATTCTTCTCACTTGAACATGTTTAACCGATTTCACGTTTTTTTTGTTGTGGCCCATCACGAACTGTTTTTGGGTTGATTAAATTTCACAGAAACATTTTCACAGAAGAACAGATCAAAAGCTTAATCTTTCACGTGTACTTTGCATGGAAATTAATGAATTGATAGATAATGCATTTGTAACGCGCGCACACACACAAACATTGAAGCAAACAAGCTGTCACAATGAAAAATATATGCAGTCGTATATTTATGCCGAAAATAAGAATAATACTGTTAAGAATCGAGTACAAACCTTGCGTGTGTGTGTGTGTGTGAAAATAAGGACACGATCTGATTTGGTCACACTGAAAATGACAGATGTCGGATCAGGTGGTCAACTGTAAAATGGATAAACGAGGTAGGATTGAGAACGGAACGTCATCTCACAGTCAGGTGAATGGAAGCATAAATACATGCTTGGTTTCATGGCGAGTGGACGAGAGGGGTGAGAAAAGGTACAGGTGAAACCCTAGGTATTCCGTAATATGGAATAATTGTGACAAACTTTGCACAAATGTGCAGAATTGGAATTCGTTTTCAGATCAAACATCCAAATCTTCATCGATTCAATAGAGAGCACCTTGTTATCTGATGTAAAAGATAAATAGACAGACTCCAAACGAATAAGCGGAGCATTTTAACCTAAAACACACACCGCGTAGCAATTTATTTTATGGATGATGAGATCTGTGGGGAATTGTATATTGCTATCGCAAACTGGGCAAAGAAGGAAGGTGTACGGCCGACGGGGAATAGGAATTAGCAGGTCTGTTATTTTTTCCAGTTGAAAGATGGAGGTGATTTGGTTCAATGCGGGGTAGTGCACAGGACCCTGAATTACTGTCTAGCTTTGTGACCGAACGATTGGGTGATCGTTGTCTTTCCAATGCCACCAGATTTGCTTGGTTTTCCAGCTCCATTTGATATGCCAGACGTCGTTGTTCGAACGCGGATGATGAGTGTAAATCGTCTGAACGACAGACTACCCCTTCACTAAACACCCAAGGATGGACTAGTGTTTCTTGCGCACTGAGTCTTCGTTTTGGTGAGACAACCAGAAGCCGATTGATCAAATCTTTGGCACCTGGTATAAAGAGGAATGAGAAACGAGGACAAATACAGTATGAGTTTCGTTTATTATGCAACCTACAAAAGAGTTAAGTTGAGAGAATATACGCCCTGTAAGTGAGAGCCCACCTCATCCCTTCTGGGACACAGCGCAGTAGGATTCGTTTTAAAATGCATACAACAGAATCAAGTCATTCCTTTGGTAGTTTCAAAAGAAAAATCAGTAAAGCAAAATTGTACTGGTTGTACATCATATCATTTTACTGCATCTCAACTGTAGACGAATCAAACTGTTGTACGGGGCTGAAGCATGGATTAAAAAAACAACCATGAATTTAAATGACGGGAAAGGTTGCCAAGGCGACATCAGGGTAATAAATATGTCATCGTGTTGACAAAAATCGGACTGATCCCAACATAGTAAACCTGCGCTGAACCCGATTGCGAATATGCTCTAAACTCTGATTACGTAATAGTCTTCCTGTTCTGTTTATGAAGTTGTCACCACAGTTCTGCCTCTATGTGACTTATTAAAGCGGTAGTTAATTTAACCGTGGGAGGGGTTACTTACTATCTTATGCTCGACACGGTGTTTGGTTGCGCAGTAAGTCTGGTTGACAACCGATCGTAAGCTCTGTTGGAAACGTTTGGTTACAGCATCACCTCTGAATAGAAGATAAATGGCGACCTCCAATGAATACGATGATGTAACAACCTCCATAGTCAGAACAGGGATAAGATTACGTAATCGGAGCTTATAACACTTTCTCAATCGGATTCAGTGCAGGATTGCTACGTTGGGGTCACCATAGTCTGTTACTGATATTAGCAATGCACCAAAAACACCGAGATCCTCCGTTGCCATGTGTTTATTGATGACCCAACTCTTCATCGATCGGTAAAAACCATTTCGAGGGATCTTCAATAAATTTCATATAAAAATACTCAAGCTCATTGAAGCGATTGTAATCAATCAGTGGAATCCAATTTGTTGGTCAACAAGAAGATAAGTTCATTAACCTGGTTCTGACTTGGCAACCTTCCCTGTCATTTGCATTCATGCCTATTTTGTAAACCATGCTCCAACTGCTTATAAAAATTTAATTCTTCATTCGACATCAGTTGAGATGCAACAAAATCGCTTAGGAAATCAACTGTGCAACATTGCTATATTGGTTTAACGTGCTCTACAAGGAAATGTCAGGACAGTTAATTCAAATGTGCTTTCATGCCTCGAGAATCTCAGGCTTTCTTGAGAAGTGTATCAGACAGATAATTATCAGATGATGAAAAAATATGGCACGGGTGAACCAATTTCGCCTCATGTAGGCTCGCTCCATGACACCCAGCCGCTAGAGGTACTGTGACAAGTCAGNGTTTCTGAATTTGGTACTCTAACCGGTTAGCAAAAATCCAGCTTGCGGCGTTTGATTACACAAAAGTGAACCAGTCAGATGCCGTTTATGCTTACCAGGGATGTTTTTGTTATCGCGTATTTGCACATTTTACACCACGATCGATAAACAACATCTTGCCTTTCGAGCAGCGACTAATCACTCATTAACTTTTTCGCACACTCCTCTTACCGCTGATCTACCCATCTTAAGAGCTAGACCTAAGTCAGGCAGAAGGGGGGGGGGGAAGGAGAGGAATTCTTTTCCGACACGGAATTCGCATCACGTTACTCAAGGGTGTCACTTCAACTTTTTGTTTGCACACAAAGAGCTTTCCGGGCATCAGTATGACTTGTACTTTAATGCACACAAGCAACATCATGTATTTCATGTATTACGGTTTGCTTTTTGTGCCCCTTGGCGGAGTTTTACCATACAAATATTAGGCCAGATTTCTTAAAAAGTACATTGAATGAATCCATCACACCGTTTATTGTTTATTGCAACGCGGAAACGCATTTCGTTCCCAACGAATATTCTTATTCCTGTCATGTTGATGATGATGATGACAAGAATGGTTCAGTATAAACCGAGGATTTATTCAAATAGCTCACTTTGCGAAATTGGATCCCAATATGGGCTCAGGTAGACAAAAATGCCCCTTTTGATTGCCTCGAACAATTTGGACTGGCTTCGATCCGCGCTCCGAAATGGAGCGAATCCACAGAGCATTATGTAAGTGATCACGCCCAGTGCCCACATATCGACTTCCAAACCATAACCTGAATAAGAGTACGAAAAACTGCCTCCAATTAATCCAGTCCAATGAAATGCGTTAATAATGTTAAGATAAATATCATGGTTTGTACCCTAGAAATAGATGCTTATTTTGTATGCAAATTGTCGATTAATTTAAGGGTTTTTAATTCCATTTTGAACCTGTTTTCTCAACCAATAACTCCCCAATTCTATGTTTCCGCTATCACCTTTTTGTCATTCATGAATAAAAAGGCAATACAAACAGTAAAATGGGAAAGAAGTACCAAGAAAAATCTACGTAACTGAATGACATTTGGATACCCAAGAACTAGTGACTGTGATACTCACTCATGCCTGTCAACGTTTCCAGTTATTGAATAATCCCGTTGCGAGAACCACAATCAAGAGGAATGCTGGGGCATAAGTCCATTAGCAACAGTCATCAAACCTAAAAGTATGTTCGCCTGTCTTCAACTTTTTCAGC